ATCGCTCGCGCGTTTGTTCGATCGGTTGTTATTTTGTGCGTCGAAGAGTTGGAAAAGGAAGAATAATTACCCGAGACGATTACGTCACGATAACAGAGACACTTTCAGAGTCGTTTCGAATACCATTTTAATTAAATGCCAATCATTATCGTAAACAAAACAATATTTTCGATATTAACAACTGACACGCAGAATCTTCTCATGTTATCTATTTTTTATTATATATTACTTTTTAGTGGTTAAATAATATTTAAATAAATTCATTGGAAATTGAACGGGAAAGGAATCTGTGTTTTTCTTTTTTTTTTTAAATATTGTTCCGTTTAAATAACAATTGTCTTGTGATTAAATTAGCATCGATGCGTACGACTTCCAATAATTATTAATGGAATCTATTTTTTATTATATATTCCAACACTTTTCAGTGGTTAATGATATCAAGGCACCAAGAGCAGTGTTAAATAATATTTAAACAAATTCATTGGAAATTATTGAACGAAGGAAAGGAATCGGTGTTAAATAATATTTAAACAAATTCATTGGAAATTATTGAACGAAGGAAAGGAATCGGTGTTAAATAATATTTAAACAAATTTATTGGAAATTATTGAACGAAGGAAAGGAATCGGTGTTAAATAATATTTAAACAAATTCATTGGAAATTATTGAACGAAGGAAAGGAATCTGTGTTTTTCTTTTTTTTTTTAAATATTGTTCCGTTTAAATAACAATTGTCTTGTGATTAAATTAGCATCCACGCGTAAGACTTCCATTAATTATTAATGGAATCTATTTTTTATTATATATTCCAACACTTTTCAGTGGTTAATAATATCGATGCACCAAGAGCACTGTTAAATAATATTTAAACAAATTCATTGGAAATTATTGAACGAGAAAGGAATCGGTGTTAAATAATATTTAAACAAATTCATTGGAAATTATTGAACGAAGGAAAGGAATCGGTGTTAAATAATATTTAAACAAATTTATTGGAAATTATTGAACGAAGGAAAGGAATCGGTGTTAAATAATATTTAAACAAATTCATTGGAAATTATTGAACGAAGGAAAGGAATCTGTGTTTTTCTTTTTTTTTTTAAATATTGTTCCGTTTAAATAACAATTGTCTTGTGATTAAATTAGCATCCACGCGTAAGACTTCCATTAATTATTAATGGAATCTATTTTTTATTATATATTCCAACACTTTTCAGTGGTTAATAATATCGATGCACCAAGAGCACTGTTAAATAATATTTAAACAAATTCATTGGAAATTATTGAACGAGAAAGGAATCGGTGTTAAATAATATTTAAACAAATTCATTGGAAATTATTAAACGAAGGAAAGGAATCTGTGTTTTTCTTTTTCTTTTAAATATTGTTCCGTTTAAATAACAATTGTCTTGTGATTAAATTAGCATCGATGCGTACGACTTCCATTAATTATTAATGGAATCTATTTTTTATTATATATTCCAACACTTTTCAGTGGTTAATGATATCAAAGCACCAAGAGCAGTGTTAAATAATATTTAAATAAATTCATTGGAAATTATTGAACGAAGGAAAGGAATCGGTGTTAAATAATATTTAAACAAATTCATTGGCAATTATTGAACGACGGAAAGGAATCGGTGTTAAATAATATTTAAACAAATTCATTGGAAATTGAACGAGAAAGGAATCTTTTTTTGTTTTTTAAAATATTGTTCCGTTTAAATAACAATTGTCTTGTGATTAAAATAGCATCGACGCGTGCGACTTCCATTAATTATTAATGGAATCTATTTTTTATTATATATTACTTTTCAGTGGTTAATGATATCAAGGCACCAAGAGCATTGTTAAATAATATTTAAACAAATTCATTGGAAATTATTGAACGAAGGAAAGGAATCGGTGTTAAATAATATTTAAACAAATTCATTGGAAATTGAACGAGAAAGGAATCTTTTTTTGTTTTTTAAAATATTGTTCCGTTTAAATAACAATTGTCTTGTGATTAAAATAGCATCGACGCGTGCGACTTCCATTAATTATTAATGGAATCTATTTTTTATAATATATTCCAACACTTTTCAGTGGTTAATAATATCGATGCACCAAGAACAGTGTTAACTAATATTTAAACAAATTCATTGGAAATTATTGAACGAGAAAGGAATCGGTGTTAAATAATATTTAAACAAATTCATTGGAAATTATTGAACGAAGGAAAGGAATCGGTGTTAAATAATATTTAAACAAATTCATTGGAAATTATTGAACGAAGGAAAGGAATCGGTGTTAAATAATATTTAAACAAATTCATTGGAAATTATTGAACGAGAAAGGAATCGGTGTTAAATAATATTTAAACAAATTCATTGGAAATTATTGAACGAAGGAAAGGAATCTGTGTTTTTCTTTTTTTTTTTAAATATTGTTCCGTTTAAATAACAATTGTCTGTAATTAAAATAGCATCGATGCTTGCAACTTCCATTAATTATTAATGGAATCTATTTTTTATTATATATTCCAACACTTTTCAGTGGTTAATAATATCAAGGCACCAAGAGCAGTGTTAAATAATATTTAAATAAATTCATTGGAAATTATTGAACGAGAAAGGAATGTTTTTTTTTTTTTTAAATAACAATTGTCTTGTGATGAAAATAGCATCGACGCGTGCGACTTCCATTAATTATTAATGGGGAGACGGTAATTCCCGTATCGGCGATTTAAAGATTCGAACGAGTAAATATCGACTCGATTCCCCGCGAACAGATTATGTACATAGCGAAGGTCGCGATCGAGATTAAATAAGTCTTTTTTTGTCATTTATCGAGGCATTTTGTTGATACAAACTCGACGGTACAACAAATAGTCCGTTCACGCGATCGTATCGTAGAGCGGCGATATTTTTCTTCTTTATTTCCCAATGTAAGCTAGCCCGAGCGTGGAAAAAACGCGATATAACGTTACGACTACTCGAGAATATCATCGTAAGCGATCGCGAGCAATCAAAAGACGCCGAGATATCGACGATCAATTGCAATATCACAGAAAATTTTCTCCGTATTAAGAGATAACGGCTTCCTCCATATACTGATGCAATTCGTAATCTTCTCCCCCAACATAATCCTCCTTTAATCCGAACGTTATCCAATGCTTTTTCAACGTTATCCAACTTAATTAATGCCAGTTCGCGGTACGGTTTCCTCGAACATCGGCGAAATACCAGCGTGGCGCAAAAAAAGAAAATCATGTTTACGTGGAAAAGCGATCGAGATCGAAATGCCAGCGGGGAAAATGAAAAAGAAAATTGTAACTCGGGATCGTCGTGTAAACTTGGTCTAGGCGTCCATTTGGAGCGCGTATCTAGCGTCGTTTCGATCAATTAACGACGACGTGACGTTAAAACGGTAATCGTTTCGAGCGATTTCGACGGGACGGATTTTTCTCGACGTACATCCGCGGAAACGTTCACTGTCAAGGATTTATTAATATTCCAAACGAAACTCGTAAACAAGTCCGGGTTTAAGTCGCTCCATAAACTGCTTAACGCGTTAGTCATTATCGTCGGCGATTAAAACGCCCGTTCCGTAATCCTTATCCGGTCGAAACGTTCCCGGCGCGCGTCCATTTTCGTACGTTTTGTTTGTTTATCGAAAAGGTCGTGAAACGCGTTCTTCTCGCAAAGCAATTACTCGATCTCAATGACTAATCGACGATACGAAAATATTCGAGAATTTTCATTTTTGGAGGCAAATTTATTTATATAAGCGTGAAATTTGATATGTAAAATATTTTTGAATTTATCTTGAACCGAGTGATTTATCAGCATCTTGTATGGAAATTTTAGATCATTTTGTTTGGAAGTTGTAGAAGAAGCAGTTTGGGTTACTTTTATTTATAAAGAGTGCAATATAGTTGATCTTCATTTTGGATTTTTTGGTGTATAAAAATCAGTAGATGAAATTAGATGCAATGAATTCGTAAAATTTTGATGATTCAGAGATCGACAATCTTTGGACTGCGGATGTTGTTGCATTTATGCGAAATTTTAATTCTGAAAAGAAGTACAGAATATAGATTTGCTATGTAAAAATATGAGAAATATATGAGGATACGAATTACTATATTTGAGGGTTGAATCAACCCTTTGAGAAGCTCCCATTTCATTGATAATAATTTAATAATTACCGAGGAACCGTGAATTTTGAAATTTGTATATACAAAACTGCATTGGAACGCTAATAAGGAATAAAAATTTAGGGGTTGGAAACAACCCCCTGTAAATCTCCCATTTGATTAATTCTATTAACATTAAAACTAGCGTGGATAAATTAAATGGAAAATAAGCAAATTTTCGAAAATTCCAGTCGATTAAATTTTTTCACCTTCCATTGGAAATAACGAAAATTACGTTTCGACTATTTTGGTGGTTCTAGCGTGGATAAAAGTATGAATTACACCAAATTTTTCTCGAATATTTTCCATTAAAATTACCGCCGATAAATTAAATGGAAAATAAGCAAATTTTCGAAAATTCCAGTCGACTAAATTTTCCACCTCTCAATGGAAATATCGAAAATTGCGATTCGACTGTTTCGGTGGTTCTAGCGTGGATAAATTTCCATTAAAACTACCGTCGATAAATTAAATGGAAAATGAGCAAATTTTCGAAAATTTCAGTCGACTAAAATTGGAAATTACAAAAATTACGTTTCGACTGTTTTGGTGGTCCTAACATGGATAAAAATATGAATTACACCAAATTTTTCTCGAACATTTTCCATTCAAACTACCGCCGATAAATTACATAGAAAATAAGCAAATTTTCGAAAATTCCAGTCGACTAAATTTTTCACCTCCCATTGAAAACTACGAAAATTGCATTTCGACTGTTTCGATGGTTTTAGCGTTGATAAAAATATGAATTGCGCCAAATTTGTCTCGAATATTTTCCCACGTGCGTCGAGATCATTCCTGGAATATCGTTTAGACTCACTCTCAAGCTGGACCAGGTCCATTCGTCGAGACAGTTGGGCGTGACGATCCGTGCATCGTCCCTGGTCTGCAGGGAATTCAAGGACGCCCGAGTGACCAGTTCCACGTCCATTTTCCACGAATGGGTAATCCCCGAGGTCCGTTCACGTGCGATCAGAGACGCTCGATCGACGATGGCGAGCAAGACGGCGACGACCTCGCGGCTGTTCGATCCATCGCGTCTACGATCCACGACCGAACTGATCCGTACGTGAAAACGATCGCTCCGCGTTCTGTCGCGAGGCCTCTCGGCGACCACTGCCCGCTCGGTGCAACGCGCTTTATCGTGATAAGGGAAATGGGCCACACTCTGGACGTCTCCCTTCGCTCCTCTCCCTCCAGAGCCCGTTTTCGTCCCTCGTCGATCGACCTAACCAGGCGTTTTTCCGTGCTCTCGACGCGATCAAACAAAAAGCCCCGTCTCTCCACGTGTCGTTGTCCGCCAGTGATCACGTTCGCGACGTCCTCCGAGACCAGGCGTCTCCGCTTTCGACGTCGTCCGGAGGGGGGGGGGGGGCCTCGTCACTGAAAGTAAAACAGGTGGATCCCTGGTTGTTTTTCAAACGTAGTCGTATGTAATTGCGGGAAGCGTTTATTTCCTCGATCGTGAGATAAGTTCGAGCCGTAAAGTAGGATCTATTAGGTCATCCCCGCCCGTAAAGTCGTGGCGTTTCTTATCGTGCTCGATACAAATCGTGGATTTAGACGGTGTTACGGAAACTTCTCCCCCCCTCCCTGCCCCTCATATGTTTCTTCTAATTAATTACTGGATCGCGAGATATTTAAATTTTCGACGAACTACAGGATGCACTTACAGAAGATACGAATTTCCCAGTTCTTTAATAATAATTTAATAACTACTGAGAAACTCGAACGCTAACGAGGAGTAAGAACAATCGAGACACAACGTGTTTCGTGAAATGAAAATTGATTCGGTTTTTTGGACTGGCGAGAAATTTTAATTTTCGACGAACTACAGAATGCACTTACTGTGGAAAAATTATAAGAGATATCTGGAGATACGAATTTCTTAGTTCGTTGATAATAATTTAATAACTACTGAGAAACTACTGAGAAACGTGAAATGAAAATTGATTCGGTTCTCTTTGGACTGGGTTGCCTAATTTGGACCACTGGGATTCCAATTTGAACATTATGCACGATATATCGAGTCTCGTGTTTAGAGAAAAGACCGCCATTCTGCGACTCGCGCATGCGCGCGGTCAGGTCCATAGATCGCGAGAAATATCAATGGTATCTTCTACATTTTTCTCGCGTGTATGCACTAAATAAGTCACCTGTTCTCTTTTTTGTGTGTTTTGTACTTTCCTCGTAAATCTTTTCTCCGCTTTCGATACGTAAACACTTTGAAATCGACCGAAGATTAGGTTAACGATACAGTTTTGCCTCGACTTGGCGCCTAACCTATACTTATCTCCGACTCTACAGGTTTCCCTTTATTTCTACCTTTTATCCAATTCTGAGTTTACTTATTATCGTTGAACAATCAAGCGTTGAAATTTGAAACGTTGTGTATAAGAACATAGACTTTGATGTTTTCATTTTCTCGAAACCACATTTTTCGAACTGGTTGGTATAACCTATCTCAATATTCGTTCGATTGTCTTTTAACGCGGGAACAATGCAAATGTTCCGTTATTTCGTGTCGCGATTGAAAGTTGCAAAAAAACTTGCATGCGAAAATCGACTGTTTTGCACGAGTCGTAGCCGTTTAAAAAAAAAAATAATACGTAGTCGCCAATGCGGCGGGGACACCAAGAGGCACTTACGTAGATTAGAAATCTGTGTTTATTTTTTTATTTCGGGCGATTATAACGGCTGTGAAGCTGCCCAACCGTTTTTATGAGATTCTATTGCTCGTATGCGAATGTGTATATGAGATCATGGCCCCGAAAAATTTCTGTACCACGTTCGAACGCTAATAAAGACTGCAAATTTGAAAATTAAATATACAATACAGTTTTCAATTTAAATTTAATTTCTATACGATTAAATGTTTCAATATGCACGTTATAAAAAAATTAAAAGGTAAATTTTAAATAAACGCGTGATAAATAAACCTTTGGAATTCCGAGCATGAGGGGCGATCGAATACAGTGACATCATAGCAACGTTAAACGTGCACGCGATAAATGACGTTATTGTAAGAATCATGAAACCTCTCAAAATTAGATTTTACTGCGTAACAAATAAACTGTTGTAGTTTCGAACACATGAAAGCCGACCACATACCGGGCTATCATAGCAACGTTAAATATACATGCGATAAATGACGTTGCCGTACTAATTTTAACCGTTTATCAATGCGGTCTGATTTAGACAGACGTTCGTATAAGACAATCTTTCCCTAAGTAATTTGGAGAACTATTAAAATTAACCTAATTCTACCAGAAAAATTATTTAAATCTGACGATATACAGGGTGTTCGTCCAACCCTGGGAGAAATTTTATTGGGAGATTCTAGAGGCCAAAATAAGACGGAAATCAAGAATATCAATTTCTAGACTGAGGCTTCGTTAAAAAGTTATTAACAATTAAATTAAAAAATTTCAAATCGTTCTGGAAAAATTATTTACGGTTGCAGGGGGCAATTACAATAATTTTTGGTCATTACACATACCTCCAAAAACCTATCCACTTTCGAGAAAAAAAATCGGATAGAAACTGAAATTTTTGGGCGAAAAAAAATATTTCAAATTCTTCTAAAAAAATTATTTTCCGTTGCAAGGGTAAATTACAATCATTTTTGGTCATTACACATACCCCCGAAATTCTACTCATTTTCTAGAAAATAATTCAAGAAGGTATGAAAATTTTCGACGGAAAAAAAAAATTTCAAATCGTTTTGGAAAAATTATTTTCGGTTGCAGGGATCAATTACAATCATTTTTGGTCATTAGAAATATCCCCCAATTCCTACCCAGTTTCTAGAAAAAAATTCGAGAAGTTGTGAAATTTTCGACGGAAAAAAAAATGTTCAAATCGTTTTGGAAAAATTATTTTCGCTTGCGGGGGTCAATTACAATAATTTTTGGTGAATAGACATACCCCCGAAATCCTGCGCATTTTCGAGAAAAAAATTCAGTACATTTGGAACTTTAAATGTTAAGTAATAACTTTTTAACGACTAAAAAAAAATGTCTAATGACTAAAAGTTATTATAATTGACCCCCACAAGCGAAAATAATTTTTTTAGAACGTTTTGAAAAAAATTTTTTTCGCCGAAAAATATCAGCATCTGTCGATTTTTCTTGAAAGTTCGTTTTTCATTTTTAATAATTTTGTTCGACGAGCTACGGAAAAGTTAACTAATGCTTTTCTATAGGTACCCATGTGCTCTACTTCAGAAAAAAGTTTCATTGAAATTTAGCCATTATTGTAAGAGATATGGCTGTTTGAAAATTGGACCATTTTTATGATGTATTTCTTATTTTGCCGGGTCAAGGATCAAGTTTTCGAATATTTTTAGAATTTCTACGTATTCTCCGCCAAAATACGCGTTGTTTGCCGTTTGAAACATTAAAATCGACCAATCCGTTCAGGAGTTATGATTTTTTAAAGATTCGCATTTCAGGGAAGCATTCTTGGTCTCACATTAGATTTTCGGTAAAGAATTTTTTTCTCGAAATTGCGTAGGATTTCAGGGGTATGTGTAATGACCAAAAATGATTGTAATTGACCCCCGCAACGGGAAATAATTTTTCCAGAACGATTTGAAAGTTTTGAATTTAATTGTTAATAAGTATTTTATTTTAAACCAATTTTTTTACTCGATCTAATCTATCCTCAGAGTGTTTTAATTTACAAAATATTACGAATAAACACGGCATAAAATAAAATGTGACTCGTTTCCAAGTTTAAAGACACGCAAAATTTCGAAAAGCTCTGGATCGTCGATGCATAGTTTGTTCAATTAAATTTCGGTTGCACAACAGAGTTGCTCGATAAAACGTGCCGTGGAACTGGTTTAACTGTGTTTGTTATTACGACGAGTGGACTTTCTCCGTCGGATTCACGCTCGATGCACGTTCGCTGAAACCGGATCACGGCTCGGAACAATTCCATTTTGTATTTTTAAGAACCTCGACGAATCCGAGTTCCGTCGAGGATGAGCGTTTCGAGTCCGTGATTCATCTTTCGTCGATTTTGATCGACGACTCCTCCGCTAATTTCGTGGCATTGTAGATCCGTATCGTATGGCCGTGACTCAGGTTTCGTGCAACGGCACGCAACCTATACTAACCTTAAAATCACGCATTCCTCGACGCCAGACAGAACAGTTTTTTTCACCGCGGACTGTTTCGTTCCAAAGAAAAAATTGCTCCTCGATGACCAGCTATCAACAATTCTGATTTATTTTCTCTAATTTTAACTGCAAATATCCAAGTTTCAGTGGTTCCGTGAAACGGTATTACCGAAGGAAGCAAATTCGTAAATTACACAACTTTGTTCTCTGCTTTCGATCAAAATTATGCAACCGTTTATTTTATAAAATCACCAGTGTTCCAAACTGTGCACGATTAAAGATGAACCTACTACGGGGCGCTTCTAACGCTACGTGATGCCATTGATAATGTTTAACATCGAATAAGAGAAAAAAGAAAAAGACCTTACAAAAAAGTTCTGTGTCACGATTCCCGTTATTGTCGTCGAGTGTGAAAGTGATATTTTACGGGCAACTGGTTGGTCATTGTATGTAACGTGTCACGGTTGGGTACCCTTGCTGCCGGAAATAATGTGTGCATCCATGAATTAAACCCTCGTCGATAAGCGTGAACCTGATTTTATTTGCTCGGAGTTATTCACCCCCGGGACATTTCTATTGCAAAGTCAAGATGCTATTGCGTTTATGGATTTGGAAACAGAAATTAATTTATAAAAGAAAATTTGCCCTTGATGTTGATGTCTCTAAAGCAACAATTAAGAATTTATTTAACAATACTAATTTCTGTTAATATCGACGGCCCTAATGTGACCTGTATAATACTTGTTTACTGATAGTAATGTCTCCAATATGGCTACCTAGTACACAGGGTGTTAGGGCCACCCGTGGGGAAAATTTTAATGGGTGATTCTAGAGGCCAAAATAAGACGAAAATCAAGAATACCAATTTGTTGATGGAGGCTTTGTTAATAAGTTATTAACGTTTAAAGTTCCGCCAGTACTGAATTTTTTTCTCGAAAATGCGCAGAATTTCGGGGGTATATCTATTCACCAAAAATGCTTGTAATTGACCCCTGTAACTAAATGTAATTTTTTTCGTACGATTTGAAATTTTTTAATTTCGTCGAAAAGTTTCACACATTCTTGAATTTTTTTCTAGAAAGTGGGTAGGATTTCGGGGGTATGTCTAATGACCAAAAATGATTGTAATCGACCCCCGCAACCGAAAATAATTTTTCCAAAACGATTTGAAATTTTTGAATTTTGTCGAAAAATTTCACACCTTCTCGAATTTTTTTCTAAAAAGTGGGTAGGATTTCGGGGGTATGTGTAATGACCAAAAATGATTGTAATCGACCCCCGCAACCGAAAATAATTTTTCCAGAACGATTTGAAATTTTTTTTTCCGTCGAAAATTTTCACATCTTCTTGAATTTTTTTCTAGAAAGTGGGTAGGATTTTTGGGGTATGTGTAATGACGAAAAACGATTACAATTTACTCCTGCAACCGAAAATAATTTTTTTAGAACGATTTGAAAAATTTTTTTTTCGCCGAAAAATTTCACACCTTCTTAAATTTTTTTCTCGAAAGTGGATAGGATTTCGGGGGTATGTCTATTCACCAAAAATGATTGTAATTGACCCCCGCAACCGAAAATAATTTTTCCAGAACGATTTGAAATTTTTCTTTCCCGTCGAAAAATTTCACACCTTCTCGAATTTTTTTCTAGAAAGTGGGTAGGATTTCGGGGGTATGTGTAATGACCAAAAATGATTGTAATCGACCCCCGCAACCGAAAATAATTTTTCCAGAACGATTTGAAATTTTTGAATTTAATTGTTAGTCTCGCTGGAAGAATTCTTTGGGGAAAGATTCTAGTTGGAAAATTATGTGAGACGGCAAACATCGTGTTTAATTGAATCGGAATTCGTGCGATAATCGGTATCTGCGTGTCCTTAAAGGAGGATTATAAAACAGCATTGTAATCCAGAAGCCAACGTTGCAATTAGTCTTATCAGGGATTTGAGGACAACCGGCGATCTAATCGGTATCGATGTGCCCTCAGACTCCCGACGAAACCGACTGCAACGAGGAAAAAACCATCAATTCCAACAATTTCAATTCTTAAGAAAGTGTCTATCGAAGTGTTAGGAATCAAAAATCAAAAAACTAAAGTTCACATTTTTTATAAATTCTTACATCCTAAAATGTTAATAAAGGAACGTAGATCTCAACACTGTACATAACTTTTACTGAATTCACCAATTTGTTGTTTAAAATGATGCCAAAAATTGCAATTTCTTAAACACGCGCCATTTACCAAAAATTTGTGTTTTTAATTTAATTTTTGCAAGCTGTACACACTATTACAGTACCTTACAAACTACTAAACAATCAATTGGTCCCAATTTTTTATTTTAAATGTTCATCAGCTTTGAATTGTATTTAAAAAAAAATACCTCAATGATTTTTTGCATATTAATTTAAACAGAGGAAATGATCAAAATCGTTATTGCAATTGCCGATACCTGCTTCGAATCAGAAATTAATCTAATAAAAAACTGTTCTTCTATTTATTTACAAGATAAGAAATTGTATCTGTATCTATTTTATATGTTAATTAAAAAGGAATAAAGGAGTAACATTTAGTTAAGATTCTTCCTCTAAGCCAATCAAAAAACTTCTCGAACAAAAGTTACACAGCAATCGCTTGACAAAAAATTACAATGATACAAATTAGCAAAACAATTTTTATGCAACGAAAAATCAAGGTCGATTCAATTTTTTATAACAAAAATGTATAATTTTTGTGCATCAATCGATGCATCTTTGTATTCTCTTTAAAAAAGTATAAAGGGTCTTAGGTCGAAAATTGACTAGTTTAGAAGCTATGATCTTTGTTCTGAATTCCCATTTACGCGACACACTGTGATGTCGATGAGAAAAAAAGAGAAGAAAAATGGCCGAATGACTAACGACTCGATTCGTATGAACCGTGTGGGCGTTACGACAGCGGACAGATCCGCGTGCACGAAAAGAATACCGAATCCTATTCAACGATGGCCTCCCACCGTGACGTCCTCTCAGACGTCTTTTAATCGTCGCGTCGTAATCACATCCTGCGTTCCCTGTTTCGTATGCGAGCAACGTCACGGATACTCGTAAAAGCCCGCCCTTCCGGATCGTTCTGCCCGCCAAAACCGATCGATCGACCGAGCTAACGACTCTCGATGAAAGGACACGATTGGCCAGTTTGTCCCAGGATGTTTTCGCGTCGATAGATAACGCGTCAAACAACGAATCGATTATTATATAGCCCGACGAAATTAGAGGATCGATAGCACGTGTGACTTCATCGATCGTGAAGGTATTCGATACTCGAATAGCGTCGTTGAACGTTCGAGGAAACAATTTTTACCAATGGAACACGACTATGTAAATCTATGTAAATTTCTTCTAAAACAGGGGCACGACGATTTTTTTAAGAGATTCTAGAGGCCAAAATAAGTAGCAAATCAAGAATATCAATTTTTTGTTTGAGGCTTCGTTAAAAAGTTATTAACAATTAAATTCAAAAATTTCAAATCGTCTTGGAAAAATTATTTTTAGCTAGGGGGGTCCATTACAATAATTTTTGGTGAATAGACATACCCCCGAATTCCTACACACTTTCGAGAAAAAAATTGGAATAGGTGCTGAGATTTTCGAAAAAATTAAAAACTTTAAAATCGTTCTGGAAAAATTATTTTCGCTTGCGGGGGTCGATTACAATCATTTTTGGTCATTACACATATCCCCAAAATCCTACCCAGTTTCTAGAAAAAAATTCAAGAAGATGTGAAACTTTTCGACGAAATTAAAAAATTTCAAATCGTACGAAAAAAATTACATTTAGTTACAGGGGTCAATTACAAGCATTTTTGGTGAATAGACATACCCCCCAATTCCTACCCAGTTTCTAGAAAAAAATTCAAGAAGGTGTGAAATTTTTCGACAAAATTCAAAAATTTCAAATCGTACGAAAAAAATTACATTTAGTTACAGGAGTCAATTACAAGCATTTTTGGTGAATAAACATACCCCCCAATTCCTACCCAGTTTCTAGAAAAAAATTCAAGAAGGTGTGAAATTTTTCGACAAAATTCAAAAATTTCAAATCGTACGAAAAAAATTACATTTAGTTACAGGGGTCAATTACAAGCATTTTTGGTGAATAGACATACCCCCAAAATCTTACCCAGTTTCTAGAAAAAAATTCAAGAAGGTGTGAAATTTTTCGACAAAATTCAAAAATTTCAAATCGTACGAAAAAAATTACATTTAGTTACAGGGGTCAATTACAAGCATTTTTGGTGAATAGACATACCCCCAAAATCTTACCCAGTTTCTAGAAAAAAATTCAAGAAGGTGTGAAATTTTTCGACAAAATTCAAAAATTTCAAATCGTTTTGGAAAAATTATTTTCGATTGCGGGGGTCAATTACAAGCATTTTTGGTGAATAAACATACCCCCCAATTCCTACCCAGTTTCTATAAAAAAATTCAAGAAGGTGTGAAATTTTTCGACAAAATTCAAACATTTAAAATCGTTTTGGAAAAATTATTTTCGATTGCGGGGGTCAATTACAAGCATTTTTGGTGAATAGACATACCCCCGAAATCTTGCACGTTTTCGAGAAAAAAATTCATTACGTTTGGAACTTTAAATGTTAATAACTTTTTAACGAAGCTTCCATCGACAAATTGGTATTCTTGATTTTCGTCTTGTTTTGGCCTCTAGAACCCCCCATTAAAATTTTTCCCAGGGTTGCCTGAATACTCTGTATTTCATAGTTATCAGAATCGTAACTTTATTAAAGAATTTTTCGTCGGAGCTATTGATATTAATTGCAAAACAATCAGTATCATTATCCGGGAACACGATCTCCTAATTACTTTCTTCGAGCAACGAATCCCGGAGCGAGTGTGTTCCAAGTCACGAAATCCCCTTTTCATCGATCAAAACGTTTGATGCGACCGTCGATCAAAGACTGATAATCGCGTTGTCAGATTAACAACCAAATAATCGAACCGCCGCGCCGCGCTGAATCACGCGAACGGCCGAGACGCGCCAGTCGTTATCGTGCAGAAAAAAAAAAAATAAGAAAAAAACCAATGTCACTCCGTGATTTTATAACTGGACGAAAAAACCTGTTACGATACTAGGTCGCGCGGAGGCAATCTGGACTGTTTTTTTTTTTTGTTATCGTCGGTGAGAACCAATCGTTAATAACGTTCACTTTCGGTAATAATAAAACGCAACGCTCACGACAGACTTTGAACAATCCGACGCGACGCCATGGGTCATGCGGGACAGTCCTCGACTCGACACGAAGTTACAATCGTTCTCTAAATTAAATAAAAAAATTCATTCTCAGGCAAGGAAATTACGTGCTATAATTTTATGAATCCAGGGAATTTTATTTGCTATGTTTACTCTGTGATAGGATTATTCAGTTAAGCTTCCATTTGACTCGATAATTTAGATGTATTCCTGGATACAAAATTAGAATTGTTCTCTAAATTAAATGGAAAAAATTCATTTTCAAACAAGAAAATTACGTGCTATAATTTTGTAACTCCAGGGAAATTTATTTGCTATGTTTACTCTGTTGTAGGATTATTCAGCTGAGCTTCCATTTGACTTGATAATTCAGATCTATTCCTCGATACAAAGTTATAATTGTTCTCTAAATTAAATGGAAAAAATTCATTTTCAAACAAGAAAATTACGTGCTATAATTTTGTAACTCCAGGGAAATTTATTTGCTATGTTTACTCTGTTGTAGGATTATTCAGCTGAGCTTCCATTTGACTTGATAATTCAGATCTATTCCTCGATACAAAGTTATAATTGTTCTTTAAATTAAATGAAAAAATTCATTTTCTAGACGAGAAAATTTATTTGCTATGTTTACTCTATCGTACGATTATTCAGCTGAGCTTCCATTCGATTCAGTGATTCAGATGTATTCCAACCTAACCAAAAATTTCAACGTTACGCCTGCCGTCTCCCGCGATAAATAAAAATGTACGAAAAATCGATGGTGCGAGATTACCTTCGAGCAAGGGCCGTTGTTTGGTAAATTACACAAACGGTGAATGGACACTCACCGAAATCACGGATATATCACGGGTTCCCCCGTGCACGGGTCGCGAATTCGTAATCTCCGCCAAAACTGTCCACTATAGCACGCACGAATGTACGGTTTCCACAATGCGGACACGTTGCTCGGACGATTTAGCCGCGGTGAGCGGTCGCGCGCAATAAACCACTTTCGTCTGACGAAACTTTCCACTAGCGATATCTCCGTGAAGCATGGTAAGCTTCGGAACAGCTACACGATCGTCGAGCCACGGACTATGGGTCGTGCACCTACGGCTCCTTTTCGATTCGAGTCATGGTGGAGATCCCAAGGACGCCAGCCAGCATCAAGAACTCGATATGCGTGCACGCACAGGGTGTCCGAAAATTTCGACGATCCACGGAGCGTTTCATCCGTTCAAACTGTCGAACGCTGACCGTGCATATTACGTTTCGTCGATAACGTTTCACGCCCAAAGCAAAAACGGTCGATCGTGATACGATTCGCGGCAACGTTGAAATTTGAAAAGTTCCAATCGGTATTCTTTCGATTCGTCGAACAACGTTTTATTTCGAGACAAATTGATATCTGGATTTATTCCGTCGGCGAGTCGTGATCGCGAAAGCGATCTGCAATTATGCAATCCGGCGTACCGAGCGTTCCTGCGATTTCCAAATACGAGAATTATGCTCGTTACGAGCCCGCTGGCCAGCCAAAATGGGGGGGGGAGGGGAAGATCGTTTTGCGAAATACTTTTTTCCGTTTGATCGACGATCCGAACGGCGTGATTGTGTTTCGATACACCGTGTATGTAGGCGGCGTGTACCTGTGGGTGATACACACGTTCGATCGTCGATGACTAACTCGGCCGGCTCAATGGCACGAAAAGAACCTCGACAACGCTTTATGACTTCCGTCGTCACGCTGTCGGAAGGTCGTCGATCGACAAATTTCGTATCTCCGCGAAAACGTATCGTATCGTCTGGCTAGTGGTACTCGTCACGTTACGGCGTACACGTGCAGCACACTTTTTTAGGTTATTATACTCCAATCTGAATCGCAAAGTTCGTATACGGGACGTCCTCTTGCTTTTTGGATCGTATCGATCACAAGTCACGTCAAGTTCGTTCGGTCGATAACGACGAATCCCATTTTTCACGTTCGAATACTTTTCACCACTTTATGAAACTCCTATCGATATTAAAATCGAAGCATCTTCGTGCAATATAATCTTTGTCTATATCTATAGAATAATTGTAAATCGAATTGACAAAGAACTCAATTTTTTAATCCGGTTACCACCAATCATTTCGTCGATTCGTTATATTATCACTGGAAACACTTTCTTCGTAATCGTAGCCTCGTCTTAAATGTTCACAGATTTTTAAAACGTAGTCTGGTAGTAATATTTGTTTACCAAGTACGATATCACGTTACACTTCTTTGAATCGAACCCATTTTCTTCCGACACTGTTAGTTAAATGTCGACGAACGTGCGAACGTGTGTAAATCGGCGCCTGAGTGAATAATTTGTTGTTCTTTTTCTATAATAATTGTATCTCGTGTTGTTCACGAGATCGGAGACGTTTCATTAAGAAGATGAGTGTTCGACGGTACTTCAAAAACATGATGAGTCAATGAGATATCACGCGTTTTCTAGATAAAGAATCGATAAAATCATACGACCACAGTCAAGGTATAGGATGCAATAGGTTCGATGAAACTTTCTGTTCGATTTTGACTGGAATACAAGCCCAGCACTCTTAAATGTTTGGAATTGTAACTAAAAATTGAGAGGCAGAACAATTTTGTAAATAATCGAAAGTAAATCATGGACGAAGTATACGATCGCGTGTTTCGTTTGTTTGACGCCACACGGAACTGAACGACCGACCCCCATGTTTGTCACATGGCTCGGTGGGTAAAACAGTTCTCCTATATGGTCATGTCACATGCAACGTTACCAATCCAGAAAAGAATAAACCAGCAATGCTAAGAGAACAACAGGAATCACAGATGAGGTATACCACAGACCAGGTATACGAGTAGACTTTTGTAGCCTAATCTGACTACCATACAGACACAGACCCTAAAAATTCAGAGGTGATTTTACCATCCTCTTCTCATGGATGGCGAAGTAATTTCGGACCGCTTCGTGGAAGTCGAGAGAGAAAGGCTCACATTTGCCTTCTCGCTCTTAACAACTGAAATCCGACCTCCCGTCAACGGCATACGATTTGGATTCTCGAGCCGAGATTCTCGACTGCCCAGGCATTTTTACTTTCCGACCTATGTAGGCGCACATAAGCAAAGTACCCATAATGAAAAAAAAATTTTGTAAAATTTATTTTACGGAAATACACGTTTTAACCCTTTTAGTGCCAGGCATTTTACGGAGTACATGCGAAGAATGCCACGGGCCGATTTGATATGCGCGCTTATAAAATTCACTTTCGGATGACAATATTCTTCGTCTTCTTGATGAAGTAAGTCCAACAGGATGGATGAGCGAGTCATCACTATTCGATGATGCATTGCCGTTGTCAAAGTGTGATGGCACCAAACTTTCTGCAGTATCTTTCTGAACTTGCTCTGCCATTATTGACCGAGGTATTATTTCAAAATAATATATGAACTGACTAAAACCAAATATTGGAATAGAAGAAATCAGGAAAACGCTTCGACTTTCACTAACAGACGCCAGAGAAAGACTGAAGAAAAACCAAATGAACTGAAGCATGGTGTGGTGTGGTCTATACTATTGGCATCGGAGATAAAGATCAAGTGTAAACGAATGCCACTTGGCACTCAGAGAAATAATGATCTGAACGTAAACAAGCGAGGGCCTCCAAACGAGGCACAGAAAAAGTCCCTCAGCATGTGAGCGCGCTGGGCGGTCGGTCCGCCACAACGCATCGGCCCTTGGCAGTTTTCGCATAAGGACCGCGGGCCGATAGATCGGCCCGCTGGCACTAAAAGGGTTAACAACCTCGAAGAACATAATAACTAGAATATCGAACATTAATGAAATTACGTTCCTTTCGTTCGATTCCTTTTATTCTGTACAAATTCTTAAAGACATTTAACTTGGTACGATTAGCTTCGAGCTTCGATACGTCTGAGTAGTATTAGTTTGTTTAACACTTTGTTATGTTTTGAGTATTGGACTATGTCCAATTAATTTCGTATAGCTCAGTGCACATGTATGCACTGTATGCAGGTTCGTTGGGTGCTGCATTGACATACGCGGCAGAAAATAAAAAACACGAATCCGAAATATGGCAAGTTCGTCGAGGTAAATTTTGCAAAAACCTTCACCTAACATATTTCAACCGACTCTAACGTCGCTCGTTATGGTGCCTTACTTTGTAAAGTATCGCAATATCGTACTGGACCGCGTTAATCCGGAAACGAGACAATGTCGTGTGCTAGGTTATGAAATCTAACAGTGTTTGTTTATTTTCCATATACTCGTGATTAATTGCCCGACGGAGTAACACGTTTCGTTTCCTTTACGCTCAGGTTTATACGCACTTCGTTCTTTCATTCGTCGGAAACTCGACCATCGTAATTTTATTACACTCGTGCCTAAGTACATGTCGGGTCAAATTTTCAACCTTTTTGTTCGTCGAAGACAAACATAGATAATAAAGAATAGCAAGACTACGGAAATGCGACTATTACGGGTGATAAAGACATCTATTTATATGCATATGCATGCATACAGCGATATATAGCATACATTTTCTTAGTTCTTCTTTTACAGAAATGATACAAACAAAGTTTGTTGTTACGCACATCCGGATGCACCCCTGATCGAAGACTATAGGGCAGGAGATCAAATTTGTTCAGAGTGTGGATTGGTCGTAGGAGATAGGTAACTATAGATATCAGCAAAGTGATATATTCAGAATTTTTAAACAACCCGAACTCTGATTCATTCTTGCAATAGGGTCATAGATGTCGGTTCGGAATGGAGAACATTTAGCAATGAGAAAGCAGGTGTCGATCCATCTCGTGTCGGTGGGCCAGAAAATCCGCTTCTTAACGGTTCGGATTTATCCACCATGATCGGCCCTGGAACTGGAGCAGCGTCGTTCGATGCTTTCGGTGCTTCAAAATATCAAAACAGACGTACAGTAAGCGCCAATGTTTATTATATTACGTGTAATATCTTTATTTGTTTAACAGATTGTATTATTTTCTAGATGAGCAGTTCGGACAGAGCATTGATCAATGCGTTTCGTGAAATCAACGGAATGGCTGATCGCATTAATTTACCGAAAACGATCGTCGACAGGGCGAATAATTTATTTAAACAAGTCCACGATGGTAAGAATTTGAAGGGTCGCGCGAACGACGCCATCGCCTCGGCTTGTTTGTACATTGCCTGCAGACAAGAAGGCGTGCCGCGTACTTTCAAGGAGATTTGCGCGGTCAGCAAAATCAGCAAAAAGGAAATTGGACGATGTTTCAAATTAATTCTGAAAGCGCTGGAAACCAGCGTGGATCTCATCACAACGGGAGACTTTATGTCTAGGTTCTGTTCCAATCTCGGTCTTCCCAACATGGTGCAAAGAGCTGCTACGCATATCGCGAGGAAAGCGGTAGAGATCGATATCGTACCCGGACGATCGCCAATCTCCGTAGCTGCTGCTGCAATATACATGGCATCACAGGTATTTGTGATAATTAGCAGAATTGTTCGTCCGTTAATTTCTTTCGTCATTTTCACGTATTGTGTCGTTGTTATTCAGGCCTCCGAGGATAAAAGATCGCAAAAAGAGATCGGTGATATCGCTGGCGTGGCTGATGTTACGATCAGACAGTCGTACAAGCTAATGTATCCTCACGCGGGGAAATTGTTCCCGGAAGATTTCAGATTTGCGACGCCTATCGATCAGTTGCCGCAGATGTAAAATTAAAACACGGAAGCCTTACGTTTTAATGTATATTTTATCACGTTGAAACAATAGTTATTTGTCTGAAGTAATCATCTATAAATAATCGAACCTTTATTGACAGTATACATTCCTGAACGATCTATGACATTGGTATTATCTAATTTATTGCACACTCGGTACATTTTTTTTTTTTTTCAACTTTGTTCCTGACCTATTGGTATTCGCGGCAGTAATAGCTTGATCATTTATCTGGTGTGGATAATTATTAATTTAAGTTGACTCCTTCAAATGTTTTTGTTTTAGTATATTATTATAAAAAAAAAATGTAGAATAAATAGGAAGGCATTATCGACCAGTTAAGATCTCACAAATACAAAGGTGAAACATTTGTACTACAATTGCATGTTACAGATATTATAAATATCTTTAAACGGAAATGGTTGTAAAGTTTCTAATTTGGCACGTTTAACGCGAACAGAATTATATCGAATTTCAAACTCGGTGCAAATGAACTTACGACTTTCAGTTGATACGAAATTCTGCCACCAACGACTCTTCAACGCGATGTAGCACAATACTTTTCTTTGTATTTGATTTTCGAGAAAGTATATCGAAGATCGCGTGTAAAATAACACATACAAGGCCTTAATATAAAAGTATCACACAATACAATTGTATAATACATACCGTGATACTTTTATTAAACGACGAAAGTCATATTCACAGTAGATTTAACTATAAATCGAGAAACGACTTTCATCGATAGTCGCGCGTAACATTTTATTTTTCTTTTCTCAAACCAACACGAAATTTTAAGTAGAATCATCCAGGGAAATGGTGTTTTATATGTTCTTGCTTAAAATTTTTGAAACTTGTATGTAAATGATGCGAACGATGCAATGCAATAATTATATGTTACGAATATGTGTACGACCAAATTTGAGAAAATAATATTTAAGAGAAACGAATTTCTCCGGCGGTATTAAAAATTATAAGAGATGTTGTTTTGCTTTTGATTTTATAATTGGCAATAAACGTATACGTTATTTTCAATCACGACTAGTTAATATATATTGTACAAGAAATTTACATTGAACTGTATGATAAGTTTAAAAACATGGATATCTTAAGTTGTATATCAAGTTGTACGTCAATAAAATAAATTGTTACAATTATTTAGATAAATAACTTTTGTATGATTGATGCCTTTGATATCGTAAAACAGGATGTAAAGATATGTATATGTGCGATGGCGTTGTGTCAACTGTCATGTTGCCTAATGTCATTCTTAAAAACATCGCTGCGTACGATCAGTGTTTAAAACAGTAATGATTTCTACGTATAAATAATTATTTACAGCACGTTCACAGTCATTTTCGACAATCATTTTAACAAACGGTTTTTAAGATTGTACGAGTTCTAACGCCAAACTATGCATAACATAACATAACCTATTAATAAACGGTTGGTGAGCCGTACACAAAAACATTTGTTCGATCGTACAAAAGAAGAGAAGAGAATTCTAAAATTTTCAATTTGTTTTTCGCATTATCTTGTTCGAGCAACACAAAATGAATTCAATACCTCCAACAAAACCTCCAAGGGGTATCAAACCAACCAAAGAAACTGTAAGTTTGGTCAGTTTATACTCCGTTAATAATTAAGTTTTAACAGACTGCAACATCTTTTACAATTAATTTGTACTATTTTCATAGCTTTTTAATCCGTTGTTTCTTGCAGAGTGGCTTATTAATTTCTGTGATTCGTGCTCTCTCAGCAAGCGAAACTAATGAACAACGAGAAATAGAAAAGGCTAAACTTGAAAAAGAATATAAAAAGAGCGATCAACGACTTGACGAGTTGGTATCGTTACATGATCAAGATCTTGCACAAGTTATGCAAGTAAGCATTGCGACATACAAAATACAATAGTAGGTTTCTATATATGGCATTGATATTTTGTTTCTCTTCGTTGCAGATATTTAGTGCTTTATCGGAAAAGGTGACCGCCTCGCGGGAGAAAATTCATGCGGTCAAAGAGAATTTGAACGCTTGTAAACAATTACTGAGATGCAAACGAGAGGAGTTATTAAATTTGTGGTTAGAAGGGATCGAACACAAGCATGTGCTACTTCTCCTGAAAGATGTGTAAGTATTTATCTATTTCGACGAAATACCGATCGAACACGATTAACGAAATTATTGTGTTTCTCTCGAATGTTTAGAACACCTGATTCTTGTACTCGAATGTTGCCTATAACGGACGCAGACGCATTGTCGGTATCAACGCCATACAATACAGTGTCAGATTGATAATTATATTTGCTCGTAAACTGTAATTTAATTGTTTTGTATTTACGTGTAATAAAAATTGGAAATAAAATATAATGAATTTAGATCGTGAACATAATTGTGGTCGCTGCAGTTCCACAGATCCCGCCAATTCCCGCCAATTTCCGCCAGTTCCCGCCATTTTCATACCGAGACACGAAACACTATAGAACAACAATACTTAACCTTCTATTACAAAATCAACGTTTCTCAAATGTTACTTCGTTAAATAAAAGTATATACCAGATAGTAATTCCTCGATTTAAGACATAATAGAGACTTTAATCTTAAGCATCGATGGACTATAGTTTTCATTCGGCATGAATCCGTGTTACATGCGTTCCAAATGAAAATTCCCTTTCAACCTCATATAAATTTGTTTTTTAAACTTTGCATTATAAGATGCAACAAAATTAATAATTTACGAAACTCTGTATTTTCAATCGATCTTAACATTTCCCATAAAGTTTATTTTCAATAGTAATTAGGTCCAATTTAATTTATACACAATACTATTATATTATTTATACGAATAACGATAATAATAATGATAATAATACGATAATAATACTTGTTTTATGCAAATATAATTTAATCGTGTTTTCAATGATTTCTCGTCTTGTCGAGAATTGGTTCATGATTATATAGTACACGTGATATTTAACGAAGGATATATTTTGTCTTATCATTTTTGTGTATACTCTTTATCATAATTGACTGCAAAGCATATAAATACGATTGCAACTTTTGACAATTCATTTCTTTACAACGTGGCAATAAAAAAATCTTCAAAACGTATATCGTAAGTGTAATGGTAAACACATGTAACGTTTATTTATCGGTGTTGGTCGTAATATTTCGTAGGAAATCATTATTTACGATTTCCACTAATTATATAGTCGGTATCGTTCGTTTTTGTACAGTACCAGTTCGTTTTTTTGATACCAAACATGATGTGCAAACATTTCACACCTGTAACTCCTACGAAAAGCTTTCTTTGCGTAGCAATTCACGAAGACGAGCATTTAAAGTTTAAAAAGTTGTATTGTTACAGGTAGAGATGGGTACATTGGAATTAAAACAAACTTTAAGCGGTCATAGAGGAAGGGTGTGGAATGTTTGCTGGCATCCTAAGGGTACTTGCATCGCGTCGTGCGGCGAAGACAAAACTGTTATAATATGGGGACCTCAGGAACCTAAATGGGTTACTAAAACCATTCTTACCGAGGGACACACAAGGACAATTAGAGAAATAGCGTGGTCACCTTGCGGCAACTACATAGCATCTGCTAGTTTTGATGCAACGACCGCTGTATGGGACAAAAAGTCTGGACAGTTTGAATGTAACGCGACGTTAGAAGGACATGAGAACGAAGTGAAAAGTGTTAGTTGGTCTCGTAGTGGGCAGTTGTTAGCTACATGTAGTAGAGACAAATCTGTTTGGATATGGGAAGTGAACGATGACGAATACGAGTGTGCTGCTGTCATTAATGCTCACACTCAAGATGTAAAAAAGGTAAGTACATATTACGTGCTAATTATGAAAGTGATAATCATCCTTTAACAGAATTAAAAGAGCACTTATATAGTTTTAAGTATTGACTGATATTGTTAACAATCGTTTGTAATGTCGATAGGTAAGATGGCATCCTAACGAAGAAATTCTGGCGTCTGCCAGTTACGACAACACAGCAAAGATATTCAAGGAGGACGCAGCGGACAATGATTGGTCGTGCGTGGCAACACTATCGTCTCACACGTCGACAGTTTGGAGCCTCACGTGGGATAAAACCGGGACTCGGATAGCAACATGCAGCGATGACCAAACGGTAAAAATATGGCAAGAATATAAGCCTGGTAACGAGCCTGGAATCGTAACGCCAAACAATGAACCCACTTGGAAGTGCGTGTGTACGATATCTGGTTATCATACCAGAGCAATTTACGATATCGATTGGTGCAAAACGACTGGCTTACTAGTGACTGCATGTGGTGATGATATCATTAGAATATTTAAAGAGGACAGTGATTCTGATCCTCATCAATCGTCTTTTACTATGGTTTGTTCAATGGAGACTGCTCACACCCAAGACGTGAATTGCGTGCAATGGAATCCTACTGTTCCCGGACAACTAGCATCAGCCAGTGACGATGGACTAGTGAAAATTTGGTTTTATAGCGAATAGTACGATTAGTGGTATATGTTATTAAATTTTTCGATAATAAACGTATTTAAAGAACGAAAGTTTGCATCGCTAGATCCCTATTCTTCTTTAGTATAAAATGTATATAGATTGATGTAATTATGATCTATGTTAGAGATTCTGTCGTTTGATTTTAGGTATATATAAATGTTTAGACGATATACTGGATTGAAACGCGGCTACAGGATTTTAACTTCTTTCGTTATAGTCAAAGATTACAGTATACCACGCACGATGAGTGGAGCGAGTCTTAATACAGCTGGTGTTCCTTTGACACACGTCGTGGGCGCATTGAAAACATTTGCCGATTTACCGCTCGCAGCGTCTTGGGATAACGTGGGATTGCTCGTTGAGCCTACAGAAACAAAACTGATCTCGCACATTCTGCTAACAAACGATCTGACCGAAGATGTCATGCAAGAAGCCCTGAACTTAAAAACCGATATGATCATTACTTATCATCCACTGATATTCGCACCTATGAAGTCAGTAACAACTCGAACATGGAAGGTATTAAACAAATGTATTACTATACTCTCTGCAGATTTTTTATAAAATTATGTTTCCTTTGTAGGAGAGAATCGTGGCTAAATGTTTAGAAAACAGGATAGCTGTGTACTCTCCACACACCACTTTCGACTCGGTGAAAGGCGGTGTGAACGATTGGTTGGCTTCAGCATTTGAAAATGGTAAATTTATGATGTTACATTTGTTGAAGTTTTAGTAATTACTTTACGATTAACGATATTTTTTAATGCAAGTGCTCGGCAGTAGCAGGCCGATAGAAGTGGATACGAACAACCAAGAGTATGGTTTTGGACGATTGTGCACTCTAAGTAAGAAAATTTCTATCGACGAAGCTGTGCAATTGGTGAAACAGCGTACTGGTTTGAAACATGTTAGATTAGCGCGCGGTCGTCAAACAGGTATCGAACTGTAAAATCGATCGTTAATAATTTGGTTGTAGTTTATCCTTATAAATGAATTCTAATTGCGTTTCAGATGGTTCCGTTAGCACCGTTGCTCTTTGCGCTGGGTCCGGTGTGACCGTTTTAAAGAACACGACTGCTGATTTGTACCTTACCGGGGAGATGTTGCACCACGACGTTCTCGACGCAGTGCACAAGGGAATCAACGTTATACTCACTAATCATTCTGATTCCGAGCGTGGTTTTCTGGAATCGTTCGCGTGTACTTTATTCAATATGCTGAACAAGTCTGTGAAAGTGAGCGTGTCCGAAAGTGATGCAGATCCCCTGAAAACTGTTTGATCGTGCAAATAGAAGGGAGACAAGTTGGCATAAATGTGGGATTAAAATTATATTTCTTGTACGTGATAAAATTTTATTATTAATATTATAAATTATTCTTTCCTGTTTATGGATTGATCGTTTTTATTTCAATCCAGTAAATTTGATCGGAGAAATATTGGGAATTAAATACATAAAAGTATCGTCGTACGTTGCGTGTTGTTTTACGCAAATGATCAATTTGTAACGGAAACTAGCATTTACAGTGGCGGTCATTTATTCACGTAGGAAACCATATTTAAAAGTATCGAAACTTTCCTCTTTATTGTTTCTCGGTGAAATTTTTGTAAGAATCATGAAAATCAATACCAATAGAATAGTACGTAAGTAAATGTCCGCCATAAAACCTATTGCTTCGTATAAAGTGTAAAAAAATTAATGGAATAAATGAAGATTTTTTCGTTAGGAAATGGGAGAAGGTTCGAGTGGTATAATAATATAGTTTAAATATTTTCTCAAGTTTCCCAGACCAATATACACAATTTCGAAATCAAGGTATGATTTGCTCGCAATTAAATGACTGTCGGTGTACGGTTTTGTTATAACGAGCTTACACTAATTTCCAATTAATCTATAAACAATGTGTAACCGTTAGAATTTTTATTTCCTTTATTTTGATTACTGAAATCTTGGTTCGTCATTCGCCCGTTATTCATTGCTTCGATGTCCGCATTCATTCGATATTCACGCATAACGGTCACAAAAAGGAAAACGCGATCGACGCCTCGTTGGAAACTTATCCGAATAAAATACAACGGTCGTTATTCTGGTCCGATTCGAACGATTTAAATTTAGGTCCACGCGTCCAATTTGGTTTCACATGTCTCGCTCGACGATGGATGAAAAAATTAATTCGCTCGTGGCAGCCATTGTGAATATAACTTGACTTACAGAGTACAACGTAGGTATAGATACGACTCTAACAACTGATTTCTCGTTATTATTACGACGCTGCGTGTACACCGATAACGAAATGCGTAATACACGGATGAACACTTTATAAATTGCGTTTCTACATCACCGGATAACGGTGTCGAAGTTATACCCCTGAGCTCAGATGCCCAAAATTGTTGGATCGTGTTTAGCCGCTTTATGTGTATTGCATTACAGATAACGTGAAACTCAAGACCGATATTATTTACCTGTTCTTCGACTGTCTTTCGTTTAACGTTCTCTGTGCTGCGATAACTAGTTGTGGTTTTGCTACTACATCGTTTATGTTCTTCGATCAACTAAATCAGGACTATGTTCTTGTTAGAATATATCAATTTAGCTGCCCTTGGAAACACATATCTCACGAAAAGAAGAACACAAAGAATACCGGGGATGTAAGTGGTACAAGCGATCTACAAAGTTTGGCGTATTAATTCTTAACGAGGCTGATCTCATCGATCGATCGAATTATCGAAGTTCGACGTGTTGGTAAGTTTCCCTCGGATACAGCGACCCGTATACAGGGTGTTCTCGGCCACCCCTGTGAAAAATTTTAATGGGGGATTCTAGAGGCCAAAATAAGACAAAAATCAAGAATACCAATTTGTTGATGGAAGCCTCGTTAAAAAGTTATTAACGTTTAAAGTTCCATACCGACCGGACAACTTTTCGGCGAAATTATAGTTTAAAATCATTCTGGAAAAATTATTTTCTGTCGCGGGGTTCAATTGCAAACATTTTTCGTTCATAGACATACCATCAAAATCCTAACCATTTTCGAGAAAAAAAATTCATTACCGAAGTGCCGTCCTTACTGAATTTTTTTCTCAAAAAATGCGCAAGATTTCGTGGGTATGTCTATTCACCAAAAATGACTGCAATTGAATCCCGCAACCGAAAATAATTTTTCCACAACGATTTGCAATCTTTTAATTTTGTCGAATAATTTCACACCTATATTTTTTTTCTCGAAATTGGGCAGGATTTCGTGGGTATGTCTATTCACCAAAAATGACTGCAATTGAACCCCGCGACCGAAAATAATTTTTCCACAACGATTTGCAATTTTTTTTCTCCGTTGAAAAATTTAGGCACCTAATTAGATTTTCAGTAAGGAATTTTTTTCTCGAAAGTGCGTACGATTTGGGGGGCATGTGTAATGATAAAAAATGATTGTAATTGACCCCCGCAACCGAAAATAATTTTTTTAGATCGATTTGAAATTTTTTTTTTCGCCGAAAAATTTAGGCACCTACCCCCTGTCGATTTTTCTTAGATATTAGTTTTTGATTTTTAGTAATTTTGTTTGACGCTCTACAGAAAAGTTGTTTAATACTTTTTTGTAGGTACCCATGAACTCTACATCCTTCTAAAATTTCAATCCAATATAATCACTATTCTAAGAGTTATGGCTGTTTGAAGAGTGAACCTCTTTTATGGAGTTTTTCTCACCTTTACGGGGTTAAGGAACAACTTTTCGAATATTGTTAGAATTTCTGCATATTCTTCACCAAAATACGCGTTGTTTGCCGTTTGAAACATTAAAATCGGCCAATCCGTTCAGGAGTTACGACATTTTAAAGATTTGCATGAAATTTCAGTGAAACATGCCAACGGTATGGTCAGACATTGTATTTTCGGTAAAGAATTTTTCTCTCGAAAATGCGTAGGATTTCCAGGGTATGCCTATTCACCAAAAAATATTGTAATTGACCCCCGCAACTGAAAATAATTTTTTCAGAACGATTTGAAATTTTTTAATTTTTTCGAATATCTCAGCACCTACTCGAATTTTTTTCTCGAAAGTGAGTAGGAATTCAGGAATATGTCTATTGACCAAAAATGATTGTAATTGATCCCTGCAACTGAAAATAATTTTTTTAGAATGATTTGAAATTTTTTAATAACTTTTTAACGAAGCCTCCATCAACAAATTGGTATTCTTGATTTTCGTCTTATTTTGGCCTCTAGAATCCCCCATTAAAATTTTTCCCTGGGGTGGCCGAACACCCTGTATGTCTCTCGTAAACGATTTCGTACAATTCTATTACGAACATAGTCCGGTATACGTTTTCAACTCCCGCGAAGAAACGGCTCGTTCGTTTTAAATAGTTTCGTAACACTAGTAGACAATGAAACGAATCAACAGAGAAAGAAGAATCGATTGCTGTGCATTTCTCGATGCCAGGACCGGCTCAAGGGTAATGGCGTCCCCTCTCATCAATACGAATTTCCATTTTTTATTATATTTACTTTCCTACGATAAATCATACACGATCAAATTTTAACTCGAGTCCTTAAAAGGAAACATTAAGACTTTGTTATTCGATTGGTTGCGAGCATTATTTTACAGTGCCAATACTTTTGTTCGACCATAAAATGCTCAAATAATACATCGTTGTTATTATTTATGCTGTGTTAATAGTTTTATCCAGCTCTGTAGATCAGAGTATAGAAATTGGCGTTTGAACGTCGAAAGAATAAATTTGGTCACTTTTAGATTATTTCGTAGTTCGACTTACCCTACATCCGGTCCTGCGCCGTGCCCTGTATTTACTTGCCTTTCCCGCGCGAAATCTATTGTTTATTTCCATTCAGAAGCTACGACTCGCCCGGACATCCAGATCGAATTCAGAGATAATCCAGATTTATTTGGGAACCTCTGATCCGGATTCGCAATTTACGCGGTGGAAGACCATTTTCACGCCCTTGGTGCGCCCGCCTCTCGCACCCGACCAACCGAATCACTCCGCGATCCCCATCCGCTTTAAAGCGTAACATAGCCTATATACCATATAGTAAATACCATCATAACGGAACGATTAAAATTCTTATTTGCTTCTCAACAATAATTCGTACATTTCCTTTGGCAAGTACAATGTATTGTCTTTTAACCCTCAACACAGCAAATAAAACGGTGTTCCTTCCTTGTATTCGGTATCGAACGATACGTTTCAACGAACTATTATTTCTTTTTTAATCATCGATTGCTTTTTTTTTTTATATATAATTGGGGTGCCTTAGAGTTAAGATCGAACCGCTCCAATACGTTTTACGCGTAGAAACGCGATGGAGATAAACGTAGGGGCCAACGATTGCTTTATTAAACAGTTACAGTGAAAATATTTGACCAAGACAATCCTCGAGTTACTCGGATTCGTAAATAGGTGGTTGGATAAAGTTTTCCCTCGATTTTTGGTTTATATTAGAGCACATATGGATTCTTTCAACTTCAATTTATTTCTAAAACTAAGATTGTACGTCAAATGCATTGGAGGGAGATAGAAAGTTTCAATTTCACATTTCCTTTTACTTTTCTCCCCATAATACATTATGTTCTAGTCGCAATTAAATGAAAATACTTTTCGTTACAACTCTTTAATAAAGCAGTTTTTATAGCACCGTTCCATGAAACCACCAAGTGGATCCAAACAAACCCACGTGACGCAGTAAGAGGTTATGTCTCGAATACAATAAAATTTATCGATCACTGTACGACTCTATACGCTCTACGTCAACGAGAGAAAATATATAAACCTACCAGACAGAGTAATGAAAATGGAAAATACTGTATGGAACACAAAACATGGACACGACGGACCAATGGAATATTTGTCACGTGACCAGCCATTGTTCACATCCCACTTCGTATTTCGATGGAACGAGCTATACATCTACGCTCACGCAACATTTTCTTATTTCTATCCATAAAATATATTGCCGCCGTTTGATCGTTCAATCGTGGAACACCCTGTACAACGTTATCTCTTATTTTATTCGTTACAACAGACTACTTTTCTTATAATACATTCAGCACTCGATCGTGCCGCAGTCTGGTCCAATTCCACCGTTACGTTTTTTATACTCTTTCTTCTTCTTCGCGGATCCTCGTTACCTATATATATATATATATATATATATATGTGTGTATATATATATATTCCTTCGAACTACGACGCAGTAAGGATCACTTTGCCGTCCCATTTTTCACCGGTGTCTTTCTTTTCTGCGACAACGCCGTTCGCGCGTACATATCGCGACGAGCGTGACTTCTCGTTTGCCACACACGCGATTCCCTCGTCGGCTAATCGGTTCTTTGGAAAGCTGCTACCCCGTGACGATGTAATTTAATCTGAAACCGTTACAAACACGCAGCTATTAGGAATAAGATACGCCTGTAATATAAAGCTCGTTAAACATTCCGTTACAACAATCTTTTTCTCTCGATTTTTCGGTTCGATTACGGACGAACCGAAGATACCAAAATGGCGACCAAGTCCCCCAACAATACATCGTAACGGTATTTTTCCACGACGTGTTTTGTTAAAACCAAAATGACAGAGGGGAGCTGAAAAATATTGTAAAATATTTAAAACTAAGTTCACTCTTCTTTGACCTGCTTTGACGATGCATATTTACGGTGCACGGAATATTTGTCGAATTAATGTGGCCAATGGTATGGAAATTTTGTTGGAATAGCGAACAAAGCAATTTCCACATAGTACAATGTAATATTAAATTTATCGTTTTGTGCAAATATGTATTTTGCTCTATATTTACCTATCGTCGATACATTTTAACATTCTAATTGTAAAATTTGTGAAAAACTATTTAAAAAGAATTGTCATCCAGTAAAACGTGATTAAAAATATTACTTAAAATCCAGGACCAAAAGGAATATATCGATAGCTCGCAGCACGCGTATTGTATGTTTACTTTTTTGTTGAATTTACGTTTCTATGTGCAACAAACAATGGTTTGTTGTTTCTTTACGTTGTGTAAATATAATACTTCCCGTATACTGTATAATATTTTATAGGGGATATTTTTGTTTACCGTGCCCCTCTGAATTCAATATTTTGTCTGCACAAACGATGAATGCTCATGCCAAAGGATATACAATATTCCTATGGAAAACTTCTGACGCCCATAAATAAACCATTCTATACTATTATATTATATTTGTTTTTTGTTTTTTTTTTGGTTCTTGGCAAAACTTTTACATTAAACGAGAAGTACTGTGAAATTCAATATCCGTCGATCGCACAAAAGTAAAATTAAAACGCGACGTAGTTCCAAGCAACAATAAACATTACGGAAGATAAAAATGAATTTTCTCAAAAAGCAAGGCTTCGAACCGGAAAATGTTGATCTTTTTTTTCCACTTATTTTTACATGTAGAATCAACCATTGCACGGTTGTACCACCCGTTACGCCCCACCCTATATAAAAAACCTATTTTATCGATTCCGTTCTGAAGCCCGTGCATGAACGGTGCGATTTTACTCAAGAATCCTTATCATTATGTTTGGGCAAATACTATTAAAGATTTTCTTACATTAATTCAATATTTATTATAGTATTCCAACAATAATATATGTTTCACTTGTGTTTTTATCAAGATGACCATCATATGTATATTATTTCACATGCACTGATATAATTGATTCTCGACCTTTGTTTACAGAAGTCAAGGTCAATCGAAGGTCACAGTATAGTAGGCCATTGCATTTGTCTTTTCATCAGGAACAACTCTATGAAATCAAATCTGAACGACGCCATACGATGAAGTCAACAACTTACTCTTTTATTAAACGAAAATTGTTTTTAAGATTGTTTGTACTAGAATTTGTAACCGACTGAAAACCGAGTAATTTCTGATGGAAATAGTTTCTCACAGTACCATTGGAAGTGTCCGAAAAATCGTGGCGACAGTTACGTGCCACACCCTGTGTACCAATATTACATTGCTATCTCTGGAGGAGGTCAGTAGTCGGTCGAACCGTTGAATTTAACCCTTCTGGAGCTGACGGTAACGTACGTGTACATGACATTTTAAAGTCAATAATCCCGTGATGTACAATGTATATTAGCATATTTGTGTCGTTGTACGTGTGCACGCTTACGAAACCCAGGATCTTGGCTAGGGTATTTTGGCGCCCGGGGGCCAATAATGACATATGGTGCCTTTTGCGCATTTGCTTCGAAGCATATACAAACACGCGGCGAATTCGAATAACCGACATCGAGGTCCGAGAACTTGTCATTTTCAGTTTGGTTAATCTCAATTCGGCCAGTAATTCGCCACTCTTAATCGTTTCGATAATTTTATCTGCATCCATTTTAGCGTCCGGAACGTTTCAAAATTTGAAGCGAAATATTTCTAGAAACAAAACAGTGCAATTAACGATAATCGAAAATTTTTTTTAAGGCAATTTAACCACAAACATTCCATAAAATTTTTCTCTTTTATTTTTTCTTATTTATTTCTATGCACTGTTTAAAATATAGATATATATTTTTGAAATTATATTTAAAAAAAATTGAGTACAATTTTATTTTAAGGACACGAAATAAAGGTTTGTGTGACAATCATTTGTTTCTTTTATTTTTCGATAATTTTATCTGCATTCATTTTAGCATCCGGAACGTTTCAAAATTTGAAGCGAAATATTTCTAGAAACAAAACAGTGCAATTAACGATAATCGAAAATTGTTTTTAAGGCAATTTAACCACAAACATTCCATAAAATTTTTCTCTTTTATTTTTTCTTATTTATTTCTATGCACTGTTTAAAATATAAATATATATTTTTGAAATTATATTTAAAAAAAATTGAGTACAATTTTATTTTAAGGACACGGAAATAAAGGTTTGTGTGACAATCATTTGTTTCTTTTATTTTAGTACCACTTCCACGAAATAATTGATATTCAGTAGGTACGGTGGGTGGACGAATACTTTAGTGACCCACTATATATTCAAAGGTTTATTAATGTACCTTGTCTGTCTTTGGCTTCCCGGGTTTGAAAAAGTACGCGAAGATCGACTTTGGATCTCAAATACGAGCTGTTTAACATTTTACCCGAATGAAGTTGCTTAACAGTATTCAAATTTTTTATCTTTTATACTGATAGGTTGCCCCCGGGGGCTCTGTTTTTATTCATACTTGTAATTGAAGAAACTTTTTACTCGAATGTATGCAAACATATTCACGAAGAAAGTGCATCGTTCAAAACATTTGCATCGAAAATGAATATCGTGGTTTAAACAAATGTTGAATATAATTTCATTAGACGGGGAAAAAATTTTTTTTATTGGAAAGAAAATATTGTTTCTTTTTTTTTTTAATCCTTTCCGTTGTCCAGATAAATTTCAAGCTGGGATCTAGCACCCGTTAGATGTTATTCCGCGGAATATGATTAATAGAACCATTCAAATCCAAAAAACAAAGTTACAGCGGATATTGAATTTTTTTCGAGAAAGTGGGTACGATTTCGAGAGTATCTGTAATGACTAAAAATGATTGTAATTGACCCCTGCAATGGAAAATAATTTTTTTAGACGGATTTGAAATTTTTCAATTTCACCGAAAAATTTCAATATCAAATCGATTTTTTTTCTCGAAAGTGCGTAGGATTTCGGGAGTATTTGTAATAACCAAAAATGATCGTAACTGACCCTTGTAACTGAAAATAATTTTTTTAGAACGATTTAAAATTTTTTAATTTTTTCGAAAATCTCAGCACCTATTCGAATTTTTTTCTCGAAAGTGCGTGGGATTTCGGGAGTATGTATAATGACCAAAAATGATTGTGATTAACCCCTGTAATTGAAAATAATTTTTTTAGACGGATTTGAAATTTCTTAATTTCGCCGAAAAATTTAGGCATCTACCTACTGTCGATTTTTCTTAGAAATTAGTTTTTGATTTTTAGTAATTTTGTTTGACGCTCTACAGAAAAGTTGTTTAATACTTTTTTGTAGGTACCCATGAACTCTACTTCCTCCTAAAATTTCAATCCAATATATTCACTATTCTAGGAGTTATGGCTATTTGAAGATTGAACCTCTTTTATGGGGTTTTTTCTCACTTTACGGGGTTAGGGACCAACTTTTTGGATATTTTTAGAATTTCTGCATATTCTTCACCAAAATACGCGTTGTTTGCCGTTTGAAACATTAAAATCCTCCAATCCGTTCAGAAGTTATGACAATTTAAACATTCGCATGAAATTTCAGTGAAACATGTCAACGGTATGGTCAGACATTGTATTTTCGGTAAAGAATTTTTTTCTCGAAAGTGCGTAGGTTTTCGGGAAAATGTGTAATGACCAAACATGATTGTAATTGAACCCTACAGCCGAAAATAATTTTTCCAGAATGATTTGAAACTTTTCAATTTCATCGAAAAATTTCACACCTTCTCGAATTTTTTTCTCGAAAGTGAGTAGGATTTCGAGGGTATGTCTATTCACCATAAATGGTTGGAATTGATCCCTGCAAACGAAAATAATTTTTCCAGAATGATTTGAAACTTTTCAATTTCGTCGAAAAATTTCACACCTTTTCGAATTTTTTTCTCGAAAGTGTGTAGGATTTCGGGGGTATGCCTATTCACCAAAAATGATTGTAATTGACGCCTGCAATCGATAATAATTTTTCCAGAACGATTTGAAATTTTTTAATTTTGTCGAAAAATTTAGGCACCTACCCCTTGTCGATTTTTCTTAGAAATTATTAATCCTTTCCGATGTCCAGATAAATTTCAGGCTGGGATTTAGCACGCGTTCGGTGTTATTCCGCGGAATATGATTAATAGAACCATTCAAATCCATGAACGATGCTTGGGAATCGATGTCGGTGGAAGGTGTGTGTGGGGCACAAAGCTACGGCGTATATTGAGAATTGATCGTTGTTTTGTGGTAAACAATACAACACACACCAAAACGACCGCGGGAATAATTCTGAAATTCTTTTTAGACTTTTCCCATTATCTGCCTCTTTCATCTTATTCCGTTATTAACGGCCACGTCTACGCGATGAGCAGCCATATTTTCAACAGTCTCAGCCACGATATCTCGAAAGCGGTTCGTTTTTTATCAGGACACCATCTATACTATTATATAAAGAGAGAACCGATTTTTATGTTCGCGCAAAACTCAAGACCTATTGAACCGATCTTCCTAAAATTTTGACACGTTATTCCTGCATACTCTAGGACGGGCATAGGCTATGTAGCATGTCTCAGAAGCGTGTTATTAACACGTAATTTATATGCAAAGATTTCATGTGCACGACTGTTTGGCAGACCACGTGACCCCTGTATACGACAGTTTACTTGCGCGCGCATGCGCATATTCGGCCCGCGCGATACCTCGCCCGTAGCAGTACTGCGATGTTACCGCCAGGTGGCGAAGCTTCTCGAGCGCTTTCTCGCGAGAGAATTGCATTATCGCGGATATGTATGTCGGGACGATCGTCTGGTCACAAATTGCTTTTGCACAAGGGCATGCTAGTAAACTATATTTTTGAAACGTACTACACTTAATCAAAATAATTTATTTAGCAGAAAATATTCGAACGTAAGGGAAGTACTCGTCAACCGGAAGAACTGAAAAAGACATGGAAGATTTTATTAGAATATTCTTTCAAATGGTCAACTATCGATATACTTACCTTACCTTTTAAAGTGGACTTATAGATTGCTACGCTTAATATAAAAATTCAATTTCACGCGTGTAGCACACGTTCTTCCCAAGGTCTCTACGGTATATCGTTTCTTCTTTTTTTTTATAATTTATTAAATTACCGATGAATGTCTAAGATGAGTGTATTGGTGATCCCGCGGAGCGTTCGTTCAATAACGATGGTTCAGAAAAGCCAGCAGAGTCGTCGAGATCATTACGAAGGGCAGGTTCGCCAGCCTCAGTTGACCACCGTGTTGCATGGCCGCTGGATGTTCCCCTGCGGATCAATGATTAAAATTCAAATTGAATTCCGTCGTGGCATCCGTCGTCTTATTGGAATTGTTTCCCTGCTATCTACCGGGTATACAGGTTGCTTCAATAACGATTGCAACGTTTACGGGAACTCTCAAAGTCCAAAGAAAATTGATTTAATTAAAGTTACAAATTAGATAAGGGCTCTTTCCGAAAGACTACGTTCTTGTGCGTCGAAGTATTTCCAAGATACGTCGGTGTTTACGCTTCCAAGGAAATTACAATTACACTTTTTTCCCAGAGACGGGCAAACTTTTTATTCGAATACAAATTTTCTCTTCGTTTAAATAATAATTTGTTCCACGAGGTCGGTTTCGAAATCGATCGGTTTAGTCGTTCTCGCGGTATTATGGCGACTAATTAGAGCAGCGTGATTTTGAAAAATACGCGTTTGAAGTTTTGCACGCGCTTTTTAACGCTTGTGGACGTAAACGTTTCCGTGGACATAACCGTCTCGCTTGCTAATTCAATGGATGGTTGAAATTAACAGCTTTTTTGTTCCCTCTTCTTCCCTCTTCCATCGACCGTGATGATGTTTGTTACGGTCGTGTGGTTAAATATTTTTTACTATTTTTACACGCGTCCCGCTCTACTCGAATATCTATATCATCATTTTTTTTTTTAAATTTCGATATATCAATTTTGTATTATTTGTACAGTAAACGTGTGATATAAATTTAATTACATAATTCAGATTGCAAGTATCATTGAACAAATGTAAATAAATCATTAAGATGAAGCATTTAACTCGGATTGTAATTATTATTGAATAAATAGCTCGTAAACACATTATTGGTATAAGCTCTGATTTGTTTAATGCGAAACATGTACAATTTCGTGTTACGATTCACATTGCAATTATTATTAAACAAACAAAAGATCAAAGTTGTTTACCTTGTATTCGTCACGTACGAAGTTATTAGTATTAACTTCGAATTAGATTTAAAAAGAGAACGATCGCTTGAGATTATCACGATTATTGGACGACGAGTAAAAAATATCTGAAAATATAAAGTAATGCAAAATGTTTAAATTAAAATTTCGTATTTATGTTTGTCCGCGTTACGGGATTTTATTAAAACTTTAATTATTGATCCTTTTCAAGTAGATTTACTGGAACGGGTAACTTGCGTAAACGGTTATCTGATTTAATTTGTAATTAATTTTCATTTTTACGCTTACATTTAACGAAGTTCCCAGCTCGTTCAATTAAAATTCTATAATGTCCGAGAATGAAAATTCTCTTTCAGAAATTTTTTATTCGACCGGATATCTATTACATTTTTTGCGCGTAAAAAAAAAATTATGCTCCCTCCGCCCTCCTCCTGTCTAGGATCATCATTTTAAGCCAATCAAATATGCAACGTTCGTTAGTTAAGCGAACGTTTCCACTAACGACCCGTACTTTCGTAGATATTAAGAAGTCGGGTCTAGTTCGGAGATGAAAAAAGAATTCGTTATTTCCTTTTCAAATTTCCTCGAATATCAAGCTCTAAAAATACCTATTCGAATTTTTTTCTCGCAAGTGCATAGGATTTCGGGAGTATGTGTAATGACCAAAAATGATTGTAATTGACCCCTGCAATTGAAAATAATTTTTTTAGACGGATTTGAAATTTTTTAATTTCACCCAAAGATTTCAATATCAAATCGATTTTTTTTCTCGAAAGTGTGTAGGATTTCGGAGGTATGTGTAATGACCAAAAATGATTGTGATTGACCCCTGCAACTGAAAATAATTTTTTTGGAACGATTTGAAATTTTTTTTTTTCGTTGAAAAATTTAGGCACCTACCTACTGTCGATTTTTCTTAGAAATTAGTTTTTGATTTTTAGTAATTTTGTTTGACGCTCTACAGAAAAGTTGTTTAATACTTTTTTGTAGGTACCCATGAACTACTTCCTTCTAAAATTTCAATCCAATATAATCACTATTCTAGGAGTTATGGCTGTTTGAAGATTTAACCTCGTTTATGGGGTTTTTCTCACTTTACGAGATTTGGGAACAACTTTTTGAATATTTTTAGAATTTCTACATATTCTCCACTAAAATACGCGTTGTTTGCCGTTTGAAACATTGAAATCGGCCAATCCGTTCAGGAGTTATGACATTTTAAAGATTTGCATGAAATTTCAGTGAAACATGTCAATGGTATGGTCAGAAATTGTATTTTCGGTAAAGAATTTTTTTCTCGAAAATGCGTAGGAATTCGGGGATATGTCTATTCACCAAAAATGATTATAATTGACCTCTGCAGCCGAAAATAATTTTTCCAGAACGATTTAAAATTTTTTAATTTTGTCGAAAATCTTAGCATCTACTGGAATTTTTTTCTCGAAAGTGGGTAGGATTTCGGGGGTATGTCTATTCACCAAAAATTGTTGTAATTGACCCCTGCAGCCGAAAATAATTTTTTTTAAACGATTTGAAATTCTTTAATTTTTTGAATATCTCTGCACCTACTCGAATTTTTTTCTGGAAAATGCGTAAAAATTCGAGGGTATGTCTATCGACCAAAAATGATCGTAACTAACACCCGCAACCAAAAATATTTTTTCCAGGACGATTTGAAACACTTTCCATGACCTGGAGATAAATGTAACCTAAAAAACTGATCATTTATTGGAAGATCGATAAAACGTGATCGTTAGTGGTTGATTGGCTGTCAATAAGGAATGTTATTAGGGTGGCGGCGGTCACCGAATCAACCTACATCGATTTTATGATAAACTCCAGCGCCAGCCGCCGATAGACGTTTATCTTTTTCTGTCAGACATATCCTCTCTCCATCCCTTAATCCCGAATTCTACTTTCCAAGGCTATCCGTGGCACGGGTTTTGCTGGCCGTTGCAACAATGGCCGAGCTCAGCGGCCGCAGCACTCCGAGAAATCTCTTTAATTACTCTTCTCGCTCGGCTGAATGGTTTTTGCTAAGACCGTTATCTCCTGCCAAGAGAGCGATCGGATTCATTCGTTTTGTAAACGGGGTCGTTCGGGGGAAACGCACGACTCCGGGGTCGCGTTATGAAATACTGGCGAGCTTTTTTCTTTTACAGGACACCAGGGGGAGTCGTGGCGGGAGGAGGAGGAGAGGGGGGAGGACCGTGGAAGCTCGGCAGTTTCGTAGAGAAACACGATTACGACAACGAAGCAGTTTTTAACGAGAATTCATTAGCGAACCAGTTAATAGAAACTCGCGAAATCTCACCCTCGCCAGAAGAGCGAACTTTCTTTTCTCTTCGCGCTCTCCCACCACTGCCTCAAGCTTCCGTTCGGCAAGTATTTGTTAATTCGACTTTACCTTCGATAATCTGCCGGGCATAATCGCGCTACGCGACGGAACAAAATTGAAAACACGTTCAACAGATACGGTGCGAAACTTGCTCCATTAATGAGATTTCCAGACCAACAATCCCCCCCCCCTTGGAGATTTAAAGTCTTAACGTCGTGATTCTGATACTCAAGATGGCGGTTTCCAAGAGTTTTTCACCTGATAAATTTATTACATTCGAACGGATGCAAATTTCTGTTAGAAAAGGGGGGACTCTAGATTCTCAAAAAATAGAAACTGCCATCGACTTTTGATAGATTTCTTGAGTAACAAAGGTATTTTATTTATTAATTCTTAGAAAATAGAATTGGGTGCATGCGGCACACCCAAAACCAAGTCACGCTCGTTCGACCGTCGCGCCGCATACCGTACAAAAACGAAAACACAAGAGCTCACGAATTCTTTTGAACGGCGCTAAATTTTGAACATTCCAACAACTTTTCATCTCTTGTCAAATAGAATAAAGTTTAGTTAAATTACCCCGTTTTTTTCTGCGCCCGGTTACAGAGTTAATTTCGACTTTGTTTACAAAAAGAAGTTGTCTGATCGAGAGAGCCCCAGCTCGCTGCAAAAGGTTGCCAATAAACAACAGATTCAAGTTACCCGTCTATTGGCAATTCAACTTCTTCCAACTACGCTTAAAGTTCGATTAGAGACTTAAGGCAGAGTACACAAAGTTTCGAGTAGTTGATTGCTGTAACCAATCAGAAACGGCGCTTTAAAAGAAGACAGTGAGTCGTTTTTGATCCCATCCTATCAGTCGAGGCTTAAGGGGGGTTATTTTCGTTCGGGAGCGGAACGTGAAACCTGTCTCTGTGCGGAACTTTTCGCGCAGGGAGCTATAAGCGCCAAAACAATTTGAAATTTTAATACAAAACCCTCCGGTATATATTCTCTATATTTTCCGCGTCTTTTAACTATCACAGACGAGTATAATCCTCTTTAAGAATCCTGGTTACCTGCCCGTTTCACTGAATCTGAAATCTCTGTCTTATTCGCGAACGAAACTTGCCTCGACTCCGTGGGGTCTCCTCGTTCGTAATTCCGTCGATAATATTTTAAATTAACAAAGGGAAAGAATACGCGAGTCGAACGAAAGGGAGAACACGCTGGAAAGAAACTCGGTTCCAGAATAAATATTGTACGATGGCATTTAATTATTTCGAATATTTTTTTTTTTTTCCACGTAGAATTCAAAAGTTTCCGGCGTCGACCTGTTCTCGTTAATTATCAGATGCACGCGTTTCGATGCTCGCTGGGCGCCGTAACTTTTCGAATACGTTAATCTTTTCGCGAAAATAACGAACATTCGATGTAATTAGCGAGGGTACGTTATTAAAAACAATAAAGTACATTTACCGGGGAGCTTATGGCACACGCTTCACGATGGGAGAGAGCGAACGGTTTTTCTTTTTCTGGATAAACATAAGTGCGCTTTGCATTCGATATTAAAAGCCCTGGGCTTTTGCCTTTACAATGTGGAAATGTGCATCGATGAAAGTAGTTCTCTGATGTTCAGAGAGGAAATGACCCGAGCGATCCCGTCCTCTCTCTCTCGATACAGGCATCGTTGCAACGCTTTTTTTTCTTAATTTTCTTCGGAACGTTGCGACTGCACTTAATATTAATAAAAGAAATAAAAGAAACATCTTTGTACAAAATATCAGGTCTCTGAATTTAGGTACTATACTAACAAAAATTCTACGTCGAGAAATTTTTATTACCAAGCAGATTTGTTTATTGGGGATAATGTTAAATATGCATGGGATATTTCGAATTCGTTTTTTATGTACCGATACATTAGCTGATTGGTTTTATCAGCGGAACGTAAACCCCTCGTTTGATTGTAATTTTTTCTGTTTTTAAAATATACATGACCGTGCATATTTATCATTGTTAGTACCGACGCATGAAATGCTGGAAAAAGTGGAATAACGAGTAGCAATTGTTTTCCACTCTGTTATAAAATACACGAAACAATTTCTTTGCCTTTTTTTCTTTTTTTGTTGTTTGTTCGAACTCGAAATTTCAACGGCCCTTATCCCGTTTGTAACAACAAAATATATTAAATGTAGGATCATACGGATCAAGGATTGACAAACGATTATTTTAACGAACGAATATATTTAACAGAAAAGAACGATAATTTATAGGAATGCTTCGACGTGCGCTTCTCTACGTCTCGACGTGAACTGACCGATGCCGAACGGTTTCTCCAGCTCGTCGGCTCGTCCACGTTGTCCGTTAAACGTAACGGTCGGGGGCCACCTGAGTCAACAATGTCGCCGAACGTTCGCGGAACGAAGGCGCACGGAAACGAGAGCTTGTCTTTTACACTCTTGTTACATTGTAATTATTCTTCAACACGTACTGAACCCACAATAAATGTTCGATTTTACATAATACCACCATCGATGATAAACATTATTAAGTTTAACTCGAACAATTAATTGAACTGGTAAAAAAAAATTTGTCTCGATTTGATTCGCGGTGGGAGCAAGTGACCTTGAACGGCAATTTATTTCGACGCGACAGCATTCGATCGATCACGGTCGATCAAAAATTTCGTGCCCCCGTAAATAACGATTTTCCAGTTACAAGACTCAACCTCGATTCGATTCCGAGCTGCGTGTAACTCGACGCGAACAACGTCGTCCAGGTCGCGAATTCAATCTCGTTTCCAGAGGGTCTTTTACATTCCCGGATAGGAGTCTGGGAATGATTTGAACAGCTTTCTGATAAAAGACGGTACGCGAGAAAGTAGCCGGGGGTTCTTTAAAACAGCGGGAAACGCGAGAAATCGTACCATGGACAGATTTAAAGTTCCAGGGAACTTACGTACATACCGTTAAGAACGTGCACCAAGACAGTCTTTGTATTAGCATTGCTAGGATGGCAGGTATACTGGCCGCTATCTGCAGTCTGGGCACGCTGCACCAGAAGATACGAGGTTGTAACTTCCCCCTTCTCCGTGATCACCGATACGCCGCCCCTGAGACTGTCGTAGTTGATCACCTGTATCGGGCAAAGATAAAGGAATAAAATATGACGAAACGGAACCGAGAGAGAGAGAGGGAGGCGAAAAAAAAAAGAAAACGTAGAATGGAATAAAACAAATTAAGCAATAACAACTCCGGGGGTAGCAAATATTCGTCCGGCTGCTCGTTAGTCGGAAACAGGGCTGGGGATCTCATTTTCCCCGGCCAACGAATTTATTTCCCCGACTCCGGAAACCGAATTGCCCGGAAATTCGCTTATCCGCGGTTAAATGGAATCTCCGTTCCTCCTCTGCACCGTGCAACGAAACGCGGAATTTGTCAAGGGACCGGCGGTAAATATTCGTACGAAGACAAACAAAAAAAAAAAAGAAAAGAAACTGAACCACACGCGCAAAGAAAACAAGAGACGCAGCAGCATAGTTCGCCGTATTCGGGTCTTGGCAAATTGCGTTTCGACGAAGAAGCAAAAAGTAACCATTACGGTCCCGTCCTGTTTCTTCGATTCGCTCGAGGAGAGCCCTGCCCTCCGCTCGGGGGTACAGAAACCGTTCGAGTAACTTTGAGCATCCGAGTTGTCGAGTATTATAGTCCCCGGAATGACCCACGAGAAACCCTGGGTGGCGGATATTAAATCGCGAACGATCCGCGATTAATTCGGGCCAGACTCGCGATAACCGATAATTGACTGGCGATAAATTTCGAGCGATTTATAACGAGTCGCCCACGGATTCGTTGCAGAGGGGTCTGTGATAAATTAGGGCTGACCCACGATAAGCTAGGGTTGACCCACGATGAATTGCGAGCTGACCCCACAGAAGTAAGTTTCAGGTGACCCAAAATAAGTTTACCAGTGAGAAATGGCAAATGCCCCACGGGGGATTAGGAGTGACCCACGGAGGAATTTCAAATGACCCACGGAGGAATTGCATGTAACCCACCCAAGTTTCAAGTGACCCAAAGTAACGTTGCCAGTGATGAATGGTGAATGCCCCACGGAGAAATTAGGAGTGACCCACGATACATTGTGAGTGACCCACGATATATTGTGAGTGATCCACCCACGTAAGTTTCAAATGTCTTAAAATAAATGGCAAATGTGCTACGGGGGAATTAGGGGTGCCCCACGGAGGCATTAGGGGAAGTCCACGAGGAATTTCAAATGACCCACGGAGGAATTGCAAGTGACACACCCAAGTAAGTTTCAAGTGACCCAAAATAATCTTACCAGTGAGAAATGGCAAATGCCCCACGGGGGATTAGGAGTGACCACGATAATTTGTGAATGACCCACGATAAATTGTGAGTGACCCACCCAAGTAAGTTCTAAGTGACCCACGGAGGATATGCAAGTGCCCCACTCAAGTAAGTTCCAAGTGACCCACGGAGGAATTGCAAGTGACCCACCCAAGTAAGTTCCAAGTGACCCAAAATAACGTTGCCAGTGATGAACGGTTAAATGACCCATGGAGAAATTAGGAGTGACCCACGATAAATTGCGAGTGACCCACAAAAGTGCTCGAGTGCCCAGGGCATCTTTTTCCAGCGGAGAAAAATATTTCTAGTCGTAAAAATGGGCCTAACGCGAACGTTGCTTGATAAAATTAAACTGCAACAGCTTACAAAATATTCGAACGATCAGAAGTCCACCGAGGCGTTCGAGTACTCGAGTACAGGAAAGCTTGGACAAATCACGGTGCCCGTGTTTAAAGGTTCGCGTTGAAATTGAAGCAATTTTAACGAAACGCCCCGGCTCTCGCGCCGTGTCTACGGAATTCGAATGGAATTGTTAACAAGGCACCGAGGCTAATTAGCATAACACTTTACGGGGCTCGGCGGGGTCGGCGAGAGGGAGAAGCATTCTCGCGTTCAAATTACAATTTACGCGCTCGCTGATACGCAACCCGTTGCTATCGGTTATAAATTCTCAAACGGATCGTTTAATAAATCGTCAGACGGGGGTATAGTGTTTCGGGGGGGGGCGGTGGAAACGATGAAGCGGAGAGGGGAGGGACAATAACAACCGGCGCGCGAACCCGGAAATTTCCATAAACCGGGTGTGGGGTCAAAACTTATTATCAATTTATTAAAACGAATTACAGCTGCAGAAGGGGGATGTGGGAGCAACGGCCCCCCGGGACCGCGAGCCGATCGGGGATGAATAAAGGGTGGCGACCGGTACCCGATCGTTCCAGCGGACTCTCGGCAAGAACGTAAACAACATAACTGGCGAGAATTTACGAACATCGTTTGGTAATGAACGATACAAACGGCCCCGCGCGCTTGTCGAAAACAATGAACCCGATCCGACGGAACGAGAGCGGCCGCGATTCGCCCGACTCGTAATATTTGATCGGTACCGGGGGAATGGCGACTCCGGGACCTGGATTACAACCGTAAAATCGCTTCCGAAACGCTCCGTGCCCCCGGCAATAGCCATCGCGGAAATTCACCGTCGCCGTTTCTTCCGTGCATGCATTTATTTTTAAAGTGCACGCTCCTGTCGATATTTAATAATATTGCCTCGTGCTTAAAACACACGACGAAACTAAATACGGTGTAGGAAAACTTAAATCGTTGCAATATTTTTCACGTAAATTTTTCGATTCCGTTCGAGGCGACGGTCGACAAGTCGTCATCGAATTGCCAGGGACATAATTAGTCGTCTGGAATACGGATGAAATTTCTTCCTTTTTTTAAAATCCACGGCTAATATTCCAGCCACACTGGTAAATTAATCAATACGAACGCACGAGTAATTGTGCCCGCTCAACGTCGGTTTGAATTTCACGTTATCGATTTGCAAATAAATAATAATAATAAAAATGAAAGGAGCCCGGGAGGGGGGGAGGGGGGTTTGGTCGTTACATGACGCATGCTGCGTTACGTAATTGTACAGGGTGCACGGATTCAATATTTGAAAGCATACGTTTAATGTTTGAGGAATTTAATATTCGACATTTAAAGGAATTAATAATTCGTACGGCCCAGATAAAACGATACTACGCGCGTAATAATTATTTTATTCAACATTCCTCGGCACAAATAATTCCGCAATTCTTTACATAATGTTCCTTTCCACATATACGTATATATTTTAATCCATAAGGAATTACGGATAAAAGTGTACTTAAATAAAACTGCTTAAAAATTCTATTCCGTTTAAAATTATTTCGTATTTCGTATTTCGCGGAATCGTAATTTTTGTCCATTTCATATTTATAAGGCCATTCGCGAATACTAACTTCATTTAAATACAAAGTGTCATTAATTATAATAATTTCCATTGGAACGAATAACCGTAACAACGGGGAACCGAACCGTTCTATACCAAAATAAAGAAAAGTTATAGGATAACAATTATTCGCCCGACTAAAACGTTTTTAATTACGAATAACGATCATAAGCGACCGAAATTTTGTTCCCGTTGCCGATAACCATTATCGACGATGGAAATTTATTACGGGTTTGCTCGTTACAGTTATACTAATGTTATCCATTCTACTTCACGATTTCCCAACTATAATTCGTTTCGCGTTATCGATACCGGTCAATGGTCATTCGAACCAAAAGGTCTCGCTATTATCGACGATCAAACTACAAAAAAATTAAAGTGAAAATTGTTTGCCGTGCGTTTGAAATAGTGGTTTTAGATCGTTCTTAAATTTCATTACGTTATCAACGATTTTCAGCGATATTGTTCGTCGTGCTGTCGAAATAGCCGTTTTATGTTCCTCTACCCTCGAACGTTGTCGATTATTATGGTAAACATGACCCATTGCGATCATCCAAACGTTCCCTATGGGATTCACACTCCGAGGAACACGAAGCCCAATCCATAACGGTAATGTGATGTTTCTGGAACTATTCACGTGTTGCGACAAACGCTCGAAATACTGGATTCAGACGACCAAATTTCTGGCCACAGATTATGTTTGTTACGTCAGTAAAGAATTTTTTTCTAGAAAATGCGTAGGATTTCGAGGGTATGTCTATTCACCAAAAATGATTGTAATTAACCCCTGCAACTGAAAATAATTTTTTTAGAATGATTTGAAATTTTTTTTTTTCGTCGAAAAATTTAGGCACTGTCGATTTTTCTTAGAAATTAGTTTTCGATTTTTAGTAATTTTGTTTGGCGCTCTACAGAAAAGTTGTTCAATACTTTTTTGTAGGCGCCCATTAACTCTACTTCCTCCTAAAATTTCAATCCAATATATTCACTATTCTAGGAGTTATGGCTGTTTGAAGATTGAACTTCTTTTATGGGGTTTTTCTCACCTTTACGGGGTTAAGGAACAAATTCTTGAATATTGTTAGAATTTCTACATATTCTCCACTGAAATACGCGTTGTTTGCCGTTTGAAACATTAAATTCGGCCAATCCGTTCAGGAGTTACGACATTTTAAAGATTTGCATGAAATTTCAGTAAAACATGTCAACGGTATGGTCAGACATTGCATTTTCGGTAAAGAATTTTTTTCTCGCAAGTGGGTAGGATTTCGGGGGTATGCCTATTCACCAAAAATGATTATAATTGATCCCCGCATCCAAAAATAATTTTTTCAAAATGATTTGATATTTTATCTCGACCGATCACCTATCACTACATATACGCTTATCGATTGACCATTAGATGTCCCCCGCGGCTAAGGCGGGGCCTCTAGCAATTCTCTTCGTTAATTAGTCCCTCAAATTAGTAGTCTGCTACCAGGTTTTCATGGAAGATCAGATTCCCCGAGACGGCTCGACGGCTAATACGGAATGAGACAGTGTTTCTATCTTGTAACCGATACCCCCGTAGATCGTTGGTGCGAGCTCGTTGCTTACGATCTCCTTTATTATTCGTTCGCGAACAAAGACGGCGCCGCGCGGCGTGCTCTGATAACGCAACGACGAAAAGTAGTTCTCGCCAAGTGTTCGAAATATGATACAGATTTTACCGTTCGGCGAGGCTGGGTAGAGGTTGGTTGGTATCCATTACCATTAGAAGCAACTTGGAAGTTAGTTCGGGCTTC